TAGCTGGGCATGGTGGTGCGTGCCTGTAATCCCAGCTACTCAGGAGGCTGAGGCAGGAGAATTGCCTGACCCAGGAGACGGAGGTTGTGGTGAGCCGAGATCGCGCCATTGCACTCCAGCCTGGGTAACAAGAGCGAGACTCCGTCTCAAAAAAAAAAAAAAAAAAAAAAAAACCACGAAAAATAAGGCAATTAGGCAGGAAAGAGAATGGGATGGTTAATCCACAAAAATGAGTGAAGGTTTCCTAATAGAAAGCCACATCTATTAAAGTGGAATGTTCATATAACACTGTTAAAGATAACATTTGGGTTTTTTATTTGAAACATGCTCCCAAACATACTATTGCTGAATCAATGATATGGCACAGGGTCACCTACTTAGAAGCCTGGGTTACATCTCCCTACCACTACTCACAGCCTTCTCGGGCCAGATAGAGATTCCGGGTGCCAGTCGGCTTCTTCACTTTCTTTGTCTGAAGCTTTGCAGCCTCATCACGGGTCACTGCCAAGTCAACCTTGAGCTGCCGGCCTCCCAGTTTAAGCCCACCAGCCTGTAACAGATCACAACCTTCTCTTAAAAACACATAATGGCCAAGTGCAGTGGCTCAGGCCTATAATCCCAGCACTTTGGGAGGCTGAGGCGGTGGATCACCTGGGGTGAGGAATTCAAGACCAGCCTGGCCAACATGGTAAAACCCCATCTCTACTAAAAATACAAAAATTAGCCAGGCATGGTGGTGTGCGCCTGTAATCCCAGCTACTCGGGAGGCTGAGACAGGAAGCTGAGATCACACTACTGCACTCCAGCCTGGACAACAGAGCAAGACTCTGTCTCAAAAAAACAAAACAAAACAAAACAAAAAAAACCAACACACACACACACACACACACACACACACACACACACACACATAATGAGTAGAAACTAGAAACTAAGCACCCGACAAGAACACCACAGAAAGAGAAAGGGCAAACACCAATTATGCTATAGAAGCCAAGTCCTATGAGGTTTCAGCCCAGCTAGCTACAAGTGGATCACTGGGCCTCACAATATTTAGTATAGCTGTGCAAAAGGCTACATGTGTATTTCAGGCAGTCAGCAGTAAAGAATTTATTTTCTGGGAGTTGATTAGTCCCAAACTGAGGAAAATTATCTGTAAATAGGCAAATGTCTAGTATTGTAAAGAAAGCTAATGAAATAGCAGAGTACTTACTCAAGAGGATTTAAGAAACGACAGCAATATCAGATAATACTATACTCGATTACAGAACAAATGGAGTACTTCTCCATCACCCACACACATTCTCTCTCAAACATCTACTCTACTTCATAGACGACCTTACTACCTTCTTATCCTAGTCTTTCATGTTATCAATCTAGGAAAGAGGCTGACACACAGACAGCAATAAATATCAGATACATTATTATTCCCATTTCCTCACCTATGAATTAGAGATAATAATTGTGCCTACCCCAAAGGGCTGATGTAATGATTAAATAAGATAATGTATGTAGGCCGGGCGCAGTGGCTCATGCCTATAATCCCAGCACTTTGGGAGGGCAAGACAGGCAGATCACGAGGTCAAGAGTTCGAGACCAGCCTGACCAACATGGTGAAACCCCATCTCTACTAAAAATACAAAAATTAGTTGGGCGTGGTGGCGCATTCCTGTAATCCCAGCTACTCAGGAGGCTGAGGCAGAAGAATCACTTGAACCCAGGAGGCAGAGGTTGCAGTGAGCCAAGATCATGCCACTACACTCCAGCCTGGCGACAGAGCGAGATTCCATCTCAAAAAAAAAAAGATAATGCATGTAAAGTTCAGTGCCTAACACATACTAAGTGCTAAATAAGTGTTAGTTTATTATTATTGACAATAATAATAAAGCTTTGTGTAAATATCAGATGTTGCCCCTAGGAGGCACTACCTCCTGTGTTATAGGGTAAAGGAAATATCTTCCTTACCTCATTCTCTGGAGAAGCGGCTAGAAGGCATTTCTGAGCTGCTTCTTGAGTCATGAATTGGGCAAATGCACAACCTGCACAATGAGACAAAATTCAGTGAGATCCCACACTCCCATGGCTAAACCATAGACACTATAAATAGCAGCAGCCTGACACAGAGTGGAAGGAGCAGGTAGCAACTGTAAGTACAGCCAGGTACTTGCATAATGATGTTTTGGTAAGTAATAGGCTGTATATACAACAATGACCCCAGAAGAGTACAGTGGATCCGCCCTATATAGGTGTTATCTTTTGTACCGTATTTTTTACTATATCCTTTCTATGTTTAGAAATATTTAGATACACAAATACTTACCATTATGTTACAACTGCCTACAACATTCAGTATAACAACATGCTGTGCTGTACAGGTTTGTAGCCTAGGAGCAATAGGCTACACCATACGGCCTATGTGTGTAGTAGACCATACCATCTAGGTTTGTGTAAGTACACTACAACATTCCACAATGACAAAATCACCAAATGATGAACTTTGCAGAATGAATCCCCATCGTTAAGTGGCGCATACTGTACTGAAACAGGCACTATGTTAGGTACCAAATAATCAAAGACAAAGATACCACTGCTCTTAATGAAATTTCATTATCACTTCACCTTTTCTAGTTCTTCTTAGAACTTTAGTCTCATGATCTCTCTTAATAAGAAATATCCACATGAGGGCTAGGTGTGGTGGCTCATACCTGTAATCCCAGCTGTTTGGGAGACCAAGACGGTAGGATCGCTTAAGCCCAAGAGTTAGAGATCAGCCTGAGCAACATGACAAAACCCCATCTTTACGGGGGAAAAAATAATAACAATAATTGGCTGGATGTGGTGATGCATGCCTGTAGTCCCAGCTACTTGGGAGGCTGAGGTGGGTGGATGGCCTGACCCCAGGAGAGCAAGGCTGCAGTAAGCCATGATCACTGCACTCCAGCCTGGGTGACAGAGTGAGACCTTATCTCAAAAAAAAAAAAAAAAAAAGAAATATCCACATGAAATGGTAGAGAAATTCCAGCCTAACACTTAATTCAGCACCACTTACAAAGTACCCATTAGAGGACTAAAAAATAAAGCAGGAACCACTAACTCTGAACTTAACTACAGATCTCACTGGCTCATAGTTACCTGAGAGGCATCAGATACGGGCAGATCTGCCTCTCAGAGTAAGTTTTTGTCCTCTACTATATGAAAACAGCAGGGAACCAGAAAGCCATGAGCTCAATTCTTGGCTCAAAATCTAGAATCTTCACAAGGCATGCCTTTCCTTGACTAGATCCAGGGCCAATTAACCCATCTCTATTTCCGCTACTGACAAAAAAACAGCTTTTTTTTATTCTTTTGAGATGGAGTTGTGCTCTTGTTGCCAAGGCTGGAGTGCAATGGTGCAATCTCAGCTCACCACAACCTCTGCCTCCTGGGTTCAAGTGATTCTCCTGCCTCAGCCTCTCGAGTAGCTGGGATTATAGGCATGCGCCACCACTCTTGGCTAATTTTGTATTTTTAGGAGAGACAGGGTTTCTCCACGTTGGTCAGGCTGGTCCTCAAACTCCTGACCTCAGGTGATCTGCCTGCCTCGGCCTCCCAAAGTGCTGGGATTAAAGGCATGAGCCACTTTTATAAGCAAAGAAAATAATTTTACCTTTCAGTAGATTCCAAAAAAGAAATACAAGTTTTTTTTTTTTTTAGAATTTCTTTAAATTTTAAATATTCTCTCAGATATGAAAACACTGCCATATTCTTAGAGCTACAGAAATTCCACCTGCTATAAAAATGAATGGCAGCAGAAGAGCTGAAAGGACTCGTGGCAGGCCAACACAAAGGTCACTACCCAGGAGCTTCTGTTTCCTCTCCCGCCTCCTATCCTCCACTCACATCTCTATTACAGCACCAGTCAGGTGACATCTTCCCAAACAGAATAAATACCTCAGGAAAAATGACCACAATTCTTGTCTGTTTCTATATCTCTAGCACCTACCATAGTGTACAGCATTAACAGATACTCAATAGAAAGAAACAAATAATAAAGAAATATGGGGAACATGTTTCTAATAGGCAGATTCAAATGAATCTAATTAGATTGAATATGAAGAAAATGGGTACTTCTCTCTGAATGGGTAAGCATTTAATCATTGGGCCGGGCGTGGTGGCTCACACCTGTAATCCCAGCACTTTGGAAGACCTAAGCAGGCGGATTATGAGGTCAGGAGTTTGAGACCAGCCTGACCAACATGGTGAAACCCTGTCTCTACTAAAAATACAAAAATTAGCCAGGCATGGTAATGCATGCCTGTAATCCCAGCTACTCAGGAGGCTGAGGCAGGAGAATTGCTTGAACCCAAGAGGCAGAGGTTGCAGTGAGCTGAGATCGTGCCACTGCACTCCAGCCTGGGTGACGGATTGAGACTCCATCTCAAAAAAAAAAAAAAAAAAAAAAGAATTTTGTCATTGGAGTTTCCAGAGTCAGTAGTGGGTTCAATCTTAACATTTCCCTAAAAGACTGCAGTTAATATTTAGCTCTTCCAGGCAGCAAAATGGCATACTGAGAGGGATGAGTTATAGGAGCAGCACCAGCTACATGAGTAGGTAGAAAAGGTGTCAGAAAAATTTAATGAGCCTGGAAAGGACAAGACTTTTTTTAAAAAATGACTAAAACTATGCTTATTAAGATCATGAACTCTGTTAACATTAATGGACTCAATTTGGAACATTCTATGTAACTCAAATGGTCTAAAAACATTTTAGAAATGGAAAAGATCCAAGAAGTATAACTAAGCATGAGAGATGAAGGTACCTTAAGTGATTACTCTACTTGAACCCACTAATTTTACAGATGAAAACCAGAAGCCAACAGTAGTTAAATGATTTGCCAAAAATCACCCAGTTAATCTGTAGCATAGCTGGGATTAATTAGACCCCTAACTTCATTCCACAGTGCTGCCTTATTCACATCTTTTTTTTAAGAAATGGAGGAGGTCTCTCTCTGTCTCACAGTCTCGAGTGCAGTGGCAATCATAGCTCCCTGAAGCCTGAAACTCCTGGGTTCCCCCAAGTCTCCTGAGTAGCTGGGATTTCAGGTAAGCACCAGGTCTTACTTTTTTTAGGTGAGTAAAAAATCAAAAGTGATTAGGTTCTATCGATGTGAAAAATAAAAAGGTTTAGAATGGAGGTTCTTAAACCATGGATAGGCTGGAGAGAGCCCACACACCCTCCAAAGCAGCATTTTTCTAGGGAGAGAATTGCTATATTTCAAAGGAATCAAGAATCAGAATAAATTAAGAACTCGGTGCTTTAGGAGAATTACTGCAACAGATGAAATCAAAGATTATGAATGGGTTGGAAAAATGTTTACCTAACAACAGTATACTAGAATGAAGAATGGTCAACCCTTAACACTCAAAAGAAATAGCTTTAGAAAAAAAAAATCTAAGGCAGCACTCCTGCAACACAGAGTTTTCCTTCTAACTGCTGCCACTGCAACAGAGTTTCTCTGTCAGCTTCCACCCCTAACAAAAGCAACAGGAAAAAAAAAAAAAGATGCTGGTAATTTCAAGCAATGTGGAGTGATTAATACCCATGAGATACTATCACATTTGAAATGCAAAGAACAAAAATGGAATTCATTACCCTAAAGTAAATAAGAAAGAGCTTAAAAAGCTTAGACAAAATTATGGCTAGCAGCACCATTAAAGATGCTGAGTTTGACATCATTAAGACAACCTCAGGATGTACCTGGTACATTTTTTTTGGTGGGGGGTAGAGATGGAGTCTTGCTCTGTCGCCCAGGCTGGAGTGTAGTGACTCAATTTCAGCCCACTGCAACCTCCATCTCCCGGGTTCAAGCAATTCTCCTGCCTCAATCATACCCCCATGCCCAGCTCATTTTTTGTATTTTAGTAGAAATGGGGTTTCACCATGTTGCCCAGGCTGGTCTCGAACTTCTGAGCTCAGGCAATCCACCCACCTCAGCCTCCCAAAGTGCTGGGATTATAAGCATGTGCCACCTTATCTGGTGTCCCTGGTACTTTTATGGAACCCAGAAACCTGGGCTGGCTGGTGGACTGTGAATCCCTCAAAATGGCATATGTTATGCTCTTACGTAACCTCGTCAATACCCTGGGCAGTGGCCTCAACTCTTTTAGGGCCTGGCCAGCTGAAAACACATACCTTTAGAATGCTCTGTGTCAGGATGTAAGACAATTCGGACATATTTGAGATCTCCAAACTGTTGGAGAAGCTCCCCAAGTTCTTCTTCATCTGAATCAAAGGACAGATTTCTATGGAAGACAACCAGATGATCATATCAAAGGTCAATTACATGTGCCAGGACAATGTCTCCCTTGTTCACAAATAGCACTAATACATAGTGATGGCCCCCAGTGGCCCTTGGCCCCAACTGTCTTTCCTTTGTCAATCAAGTTCTCTTTCTCAGGAATCTGAAAACATAAACAGACATATACAAACACCAGAAACTGTAGGTACAGATTCATTTCAAAACAGTGGTGCCCCATGCCAGGGAAACTTCTAGGGTGCTAGAAATTTCTATATTTTGATCTGGGTGGTGGCTACATGGATGTATACATATAAAATTTTAGCTGAGCTGTATGCTTAATGTACTTTACAGAATATATGTTATACTTTAAAAGAAAAAAAGTGATATCCCCAGAGAAAAGACCCACATCCTCCATCACCTAGGGCCCCAGAACTGCCCAGATTTTCAGCCTCTTCCTGAGGCTTGCTCTTTGACAACTTTGATTCTGAAACCTTCTTTTTCACTTAAATTGGCCAAAATTCATTTCTCTTACTACAAACTAGAAGACTCACAGCAGACTAGTGAGAAATGTCAAATATTCTCTTTCTCAATTAGCCAGTTTTTCTTCTGTGTTGATATTAAATCCATGTTTCAGCTGAAATTTTACAAAAGTCAGAAAATCCTTCAAAATAGTAACATAAAAGCAAACACAGTAAAATTTACTAAGTCCAAAAAAAGAAAACTACTTACTTCTCTTGAAGGGATTAAAAAATGTTAGAAGGAGATTTTCTTGTCCTAAAATTTCAACACAGTATAAAGATTCCTCATTTCTCCAACTATTTAATCCTTCCAGGAGTAAGAAAAACAGTCCCTAATAAGTATCTATAATTTTACTTCTCTTATATGCACTAAACAGCCCCATGAATGATTCTATTTCATGGATAACCCAGATAAAAAAGTTTTCTGCAATACGACATGGCCTAGCTACATTATTTCTTTTAATTTGCCTCATCATATACATAGTTTTCTCTCTTCCACCCCTTTATTTTCCCAAGTTCTTTATTATTTAAAAGGTGTATAAGGAATGGTATCCTTAGTACTGAGGTCACACGCTTCTTCCTCACTGTGTCATTTCTTCCTTCCTGTTAGATCCTCCACAAATACAAAATTATTTATATGGCAGTTCCAAATAACACAATTTTTAAAATACATGGAAGGACATGCAGTTAGGTGAGAAAATGGGCTTCAGTACAGCATGTATAAATTCATCTCTGTTAGGGTTAAGGTTAGGGTTAGGATTAGGTTAGGGTTGGGGTTAATTTTATGATGTGGGCATGTAGTGTAGGTGTTCTCTGAATAGTGATTAATGGGTTTTTTTTTTTTTCTTTTTGCTTATGTATTCATCAATTTCCTAGAATGAACATAAATTGTATAACAATTTTTTTTTTTTTGAGACAGAGTCTTGCTCTGTCACCCAGGCTGGAGTACAGTGGCACAATCCCAGCTCACTGCAACCTCCACCTCTGGGCTTTAAGCGATTCTCGTGCTTCAGGCCTCCCAAGTAGCTGGGGTTATAGGCGCGTGCCACCACACATGGCTAATTTTTGTATTTTAAGTAGAAATGGGGTTTCGCCATGTTGGCCAGGCTGGTTTTGAATTGGCCTCAAGTGATCCCGTCTGCCTCTACCTCCCAAGGTGCTGGGATTATAAGCCTGAGTACCGTGCCCAAAAAAACAATTTTAAAAGACTGCATAAGAAGATAAAATATATACCTCTAAAATCAGACCCAAATGACCCTGGTACGTTGGGTACTTTAGAAAGACTAGAAGGCATGCATGAGGTGTACTAAAGACATCCTAACCTTATGAAAGCAGCAATCTGTTGCAGTCAGTAGAGCTAAACAGCAACAGCAACATGAAATAAAGCCTATCTCCACCCCTACTCCCACCCCGTTTTCCTGGAAACAGATGAGATGCCTTACTTTATTGTGGATCCTGCATCAGAAGATAAGTTAGGCATAAAGACAGAAATCATTTGAGATAAGCAGTGTTACTCCTCCCCAGCACTCCCCCTAAAACAAAGGCCAGAAGCCAGATGTTTCTAACAGCTGAATTGATTTCTTATAAAGATGCCAACCCAATTAAAAAGCATGAAATCTAGATGAAGACAAGTTGTCAGGACCCATGCTATCTGTCTTCTGTGTTATAGTTCTGATTGTCCTACATTTCTCATTGTTTGGTATGTTCCTGGGACCAGATGTGCTTGATCTAATTTTCTGGGCTAGGTAACAGAACTGGTGCCAAAAGGAGAAGGGAGAGGAGGAGGAGAGATCTATGATGACAACACAAAAGCAATTCTGGAGGTAGAGAGCCATACCTGATAAAAACCGTTTTCCCTTCATTCACATCAGAGGGTAATTTCCTCTTCTTTTTGTTTGAAACTTGCACAGCTAAGGTAAAAAGAAAAACAAGAAACTGAAAGAGACTAGCGTAAGCCACATGACAAAGAGCTAACTTCTGAAGTACATAAAGATCTTGCATAAACTGTTAAAAGAAAAAAACAATTAAAAATAGACAAAGGAGGCCAGGCACAGTGGCTCACGCTTGTAATCCCAGCACTTTGGGAGGCCAAGGCAGGCGGATCACCTGAGGTTAGGTGTTCGAGACCAGCCTGGCCAACACGGCAAAACCCATTTCTACTAAAAACACAAAAATCAGCCAGTGTGGTGGCAGCCACCTGTAATCCCAGCTACTCAGGAGGCTGCGACAGGAGAATCACTTGAACCTGAGACAGAGGCTGCAGTGAGCCAAGATTGAGCCACTGCATTCCCGCCAGGGCAACAAGAATGAAACTCAGTCTCAAAAAAGTAAATAAAAGTAGACAGAGGACATGCAATTAAGTACATGAAAAGATGTTTGAACTCACTCTTAATTAAAGAAAACATAGCACAAGAAATGAGATACTATTTTTCAACAACAGATTGCAAAATCAAAAAGACAGATGGAATCCAATGTGGTAAGGGTATGGGAAAAAGATATTCCCATATACTATGATGACAGTGTAAACTTTCTGGAAATACTGTACAGGACACAGGAAACTTTGAGGAAAAACATACACATACAGTCACACACCAATTATTAAAAAACACTATTTTGAGTGTGTATGCGTATGTAAATATGTGCATTTTGCTTATAAATGTATTAAAATATCTCTAGATACATAAGAAACAAATAACCTTGGTTATCTCTGGGGAAGCTCCCTAAGAAGCTGAGGATCTGGGTATAAGGGAGACTCACTGTTTTCAAGAACAGACATATATGCTTCTATATACAAAGAAAATATCTGGAAGGATACACAAGAAACAACAGTGATTACTTTGGAGAATTGTTGGGATTATTGAGGAACTTTTGCGTATTACACTCTTCTGTATTGTGTTTTTTATTAACTTTCTCTCATTATCATTTATCTGTCCTATAAGTTTCTCAGTTGAAAGAATGGCATGAGACAGCTGGCTGTGGGTTATAGAATACCGGGTCTCATAGTGCCTTCAATGTAAAAGCTCCTTTGATTCTAAGGTGTATACCATTTTCTCCTCACAGAAAAAGCTCATTTCCTCAGATTTTTTATATGGTCAAACCAACATTCCGGACTTACTGAAATGGAATCAGAATAAAAATAGCTGAATAAAAATCTCCAGCCAGACAAATCAAAGAACCAGTCATTAACCATTTCTCATTCTGTAATGACCTGCCTTCCTCAATAAACAAGTTGAATTTATTCTCAATTAAGGCAGCAATAAGGATTGGCTAAAGTTTTACAACATGTTCAAAGAGTTCCTTGCTATGAAATGCACTGTGTTCCCCCAAAATTCATATATCGAAGCCCTAACTCCAAATGTAACTATATTTGGAGACAGAGACTTTAGGGAGGTAACTGAGCTAGCTTCCTCTTAAGGTTGGGACCCTAATCTGATAGGACTGCTGTGCTTATAAGAAAAGAGAGACCAGAGTTCACTGTTACTTGTTCTCTCTCTCCCCCTGTTCAAGCACACAAAGAAAATGCCATGCAAGGACATAGTAAGAAGGCAGCAGTCTGCAAGCCAGGAAGAGAGCTTCACCCAAAATGGAATCAGCTGGCGTCTGGGACTTCTAGCCTCCAGAGCTGTGAGAAAATAAGTTTCTGTTGTTTAAGCCATCTAGACTATAGTATTTTGTTATGGCAGTCGGAGCTGACTATACAGCTCTTTATCCTCACTGCAACTCAAAGGTGTTGTTTAAAATCTACCTTGGAATTCAGATTGTTATATCATCTGTTTCTTCTATACTATCTGTGTAAGATGCTGTTTACCTGGTTATTCAATCAAGTTGGACAATCCAGAGAGGTAGAACCTCACCATTAAGCTAGGTCTTAAATTCTCTAAGAATCTTAACCCTCAAACACCACTCCAAAACTCATTTAAAAAACAAAACAAACAAAAAGGAAACAACAAAAAAATCTTTGGAAGAAAGGAGTATAAAAGTTTCCTTTTCAGCATTTAAACATAATTTGATAGACCACCTTAGAGTCCTATTTAAAAAGAGGCCTAAGCAGAACTGATGTTCATTTCGGTAACTTCAGTAACTTTTTAAAGATCATTTATAGTGAAAACCCAAGCAAACCTTTATCCTCTTGCTCCTCAGTGCTGCTATCACTCTGAGCCAGTTCCTCTCCATCATCAATACTGTCGCTTTCCTCCAGGTCACTGTCCTCCTCAGAATGATCTTCACTGCTTTCTGCGGAGGCTGTTCTCTTGATTGCTCTGCAAAGGCACAGATCAGAACTAAGGCTGTGGGCTGACAGAGGGGCCTATTCAATTTCATTACACATGTCAATTCTGCAATGGTGCAGGCAGAAAAAGGAGAATTTTTCCTCTCAGAGACAATCTTGAATTTTCCTCTGCTGTCTCAGAACAGACTGAGCTGCTTACCTCTTCTGAATTTGCACAGACTTGGTCACCTTTGATTCTATATTCTCCTCCTCTTCATCTTCATCATCATCAACCTCGTCATCATCATCATCGTCATCATCATCATTTTCTTCCATCTCCATATCTTCTTCCTCCCTGCCATTCTTTTTAACTGATTCCTGATGTTTAGATTCACGGCTCTTTTCCTCACCTACAGAGGGAGGTAAAGAAAGAAAAAGTTCATTTAATATCCAAAATGATCTTATTTTAACAAGAGTAACCAATACTCCAAGTTGGTGGTTTCATTGGTTTTACAGAATTTCATATATTTTTCTTACTGTATGTAACAGGAGAAAGTATAAAGAAAAAAAAGCAAAAACAGAAATAAACAAAACTCTCATCACCCAGATTCCGTTAGGATTTGTCCTATTCATCACCCTGAAGGTTCATCTGGCCCAGACTAAAAGAAGTGGCAACTGAGTCTCTGCAAACAGCCGACCATTCATACACCACAGCTATCGAAATGCTCACTAGGGGGCAAAGCCAAGCCAAGAACTTCAATCTCAGTGCGTTTTATTCTCTGAGATCCTAGTGGCTTAACAGCCAATTGTTTTCTAAATAAAACTCAAGTTTTAAGTTTCTCTATTCTTAATGTTCCATAACTCCTATTATGCAAAGCTTGGAAAGAACAGCAAGTAAAGGGGACAATGAGCTCAGGCTCACTCACAGCCACTCCCAGGAGGGGGTTTAGACTCAAAAGAGCCTAGGTTTTGGGACCAGAGCACCAGATGGTACAATATGAATTGACAAACAGACCTGGACTCATTTGTGAGCCAGCAAGAATTTAGAGTTTTCCCTGAAAGCTCAGTCTCATTCTTTTGGTTAATCTTCTACAATAGTCTCACTCTGACAAGCAAGTTCTCATACTTTTTTTTTTTTTTTTTGAGACAGAGTCTTGCTTTGTCACCCAAGCTGGCGTGCAGTGGGATGTTCTCGGCTCACTGTAACCTCTGACTCCCAGGTTCCCAAGTAGCTGGGATGAAAGGCTCCTGCCACCATTCCCAGCTAATTTTTGTATTTTTAGTAGAGATGGGGTTTTGCCATGTTAGGCAGGCTGGTCTGAAACTCCAGACCTCAAGCAATCCACCCACCTCAGCCTCCCAAAGTGCTGGGATTACAGGCGTGAGCCACTGCACCTGGTCTTTTTCTTACACTTTTATCACGAACACAGGAGTTGTTTCACCACTCTTGCCCAGGTTATACAACACCCCCACTCACCCAACACTACCGCATCTTACCTAGAGCAGAAATAGACTGTGTATCTTTATATATATCCTTTGCCACAGCCCAATCCACTGCCACTGTCCTCCCTGTCAAACAGAAAAGTGGTATCAGAGAAGCTGTGGTTTTAGTATCCCTACCTCTATAAAGGGCCTCTAGTCATCACAGACAATAATGGAACCAGTAGAGACAAAGAAACTGTCAATTCAGGAATGCTGATCTTTAAATAAAGCTCCTAGTCGCTGCCTACTCCTCTTAACCCTTAACCTTTTTATCAATGAACAGAAATTTTGCCTTTCTACATAGCCACCACACCTGGGATAAGATGGAGTAAAAACATAAAGAATTAGAACTATGCTCCCAGTTAGAGTATCAAGAATCAAAACAAGCATTCTGGAATCATCTGAATCCTCCTCAGAAGCTAGGATGTCTCTACAGCAATAATTTTTTTTTCTTTTTTTTTTTTTTTGAGATGGAGTCTTCCTCTGTCGCCCAGGCTAGAGTGCAGCGGTGCGACCTTGGCTCACTGCAACCTCCGCTCCCGGGTTCAAGCGATTCTCTTGCCTCAGCCTCCCGAGTAGCTGGGATTACAAGCATATGCCACCACACCTGGCTAATTTTTGCATTTTCAGTAGAGACAGAGTTTTGCCATGTTGGCCAGGCTGGTCTCGAACTCCTGACCTCAGGCGATCTACCCACCTTGGCCTCCCAAAGTGCTGGGATTACAGGCGTGAGCCACCACACCTGGCCAGCAATAACTTCTTTAGGCACAAGACCTGATAAGTTATTATGTAGAGTAGCCCCACAGTCAGTTTAATAAATAGCCCACAGATGATCATAACCAAGAAGGAACCTAGATACCAACCTGTATCTATCAGCAATTATTTCAGGGCCATTTTTCACTAGGGATTTAAAAGGACACTCTCACCAAATAAATGAAAGAATACCGGCAAGGGTTCTTTCAAGTTTAACCCTAAGATCAAGTTCTAGAATATTTTCACCTAAATAGCTACCATATTAGCAATGAGACTCTCAATAACGCAAACATCTTTTGAAAATGCAGAAAGTGGGTTACTATACTAATTCACAGAGACACCAAAAATACCTGGGTCAATGACATGGGAATAAAAAACTTACCTTTTATCTCTTTCATGTTCATGCCTTTGAGAGCTTTACCTGCTTCTAGAAGGTTTTTGAACTGAACAAAAGCAAAACCACGCATCTTCCCATCTGTGTGCAAATGTACAAAGAAGTGAGAGGCAGCAGGAGGTAGCCAGCAGAATACTAAGAAGGAAGTTACTGCAGTTCAGGTCTGCAAGATGGCCCAAATCCTGCCAGCAGGCCAGCCCATTCCCCAAAGCAATTGCTTACATCTTCTTACTGAGTATACTCTGACTTGGACTTGGGGAGAGCAATGGACTTTCTCTAACTAGTCATCTAAAACTAATTCTGATCCAACAGAAAATGTCATTGGGGGAATAGAACCATTATTTGGGTTTTCATTAGTTCTCAAGCACTGAGCCATATATTTTATAGGTATCACACATATTTGTTCAAGGGTAATTATGTTAACTAACGTAACTCACATCAAGTGAAGGTTCATCAGTACCTGGTTTCCTAGGGATATTTACTTCCAGGACAGCTCCAAATTGAGCAAATACTGTCTTCAAGTCATCTTCTGAACACTGAAGCCAAAAGTTAAGAAAGAAAAAGAGAAATACAATCACAGCAAATTAACATAAAATATCAACTACTAATTCATTAATTATGAAAAACATGAATACGTTTACTCCTTTTTTTACTTTTTGAGACCAGGACATCAAATGTTTCGAAATAGAAGACATTTTACTTTGTATCTAAGAGGCAAAAAGACAGACATCTGAGAGCTTTTTCTACCTTTTTTTTCTCAGTAGTAGTTTCCCCAAAAAGGAAAGCAGCTTCACACTTAATACCCTTATTGGCTGGATGCGGTGGCTCATGCCTATAATCCCAGCACTTTGGGAGGCCAAGGTGGGTGGATCACGAGGTCAAGAGATCAAGACCATCCTGGTCAATACAGCGAAACCCCGTCTCTACTAAAAATCCAAAAAAAAAAAAAAAAAAAATTAGCTGGGCATAGTGGCACATGCCTGTAGTCCCAGCTGCTCAGGAGGCTGAGGCAGGAGAATTGCTTGAACCCAGGAGACGGAGGCTGCGGTGAGCCAAGATAGAGCCATTGCACTCCAGCCTGGGCAACAAGAGCGAAACTCCGTCTCAAAACAAAACAAAACAAAACAAAACAAAACACTTAATACCCTTATTACACAGGTCCACTTTCTGAATTCAACAGGGGTAAGGTTCATTCCCAGAAGGAATTCAGCCCAATTATACCATCTTGGTGAGGAGTTCTACTAATGATCACATCCTGGCTCTAAAAGCCTTCAAGACATGCAATGTTTGTTTTCTCTCTCACTTACCTTAAAGCTCAGGTTCCGAATAATTAATCTGGCTTTCTTATCTGCCACTTTGGCTTTTTTAGGCTTTAGCTCCTTCTTTGGGACCTCTGAGTTTTCTACAAAATAAGAGGTAATGGAATAAGTGCTCCAAAATCACCCACTTATAGGCTAGAACATCACAGAACAAAAGCTACTGGTGATAGATGCCATTTACCACAGGGTTAAGTGTGGCAATACCAAGGAATACCAGATTTTTCAGACTGAGATGCAACAAAAGAACTAAAATGAGTATCACAATACAATGGATGATTCTCGAGATCGAAAACAAATGCAAAAAGCTTTAAGTTCTAGAAGCTATCCCCATGCCTCCCTCTTTCAGTTTCCCAGTGCTACTCACCCTGGAAGAAAAACTTCCTTCAATTACTAGAAACTCACCATTTTTCCCCTTTTCCTTTGTCTTGTTCCTCAGTTTTTTCTTGGCAACGGTCACGTTGATCTTGCAACCTTCAAAAGTGGTAATCTCCTTGAGGGCCCTCTGAACATCTTCCAGCATAGAAAAAGTGACATAGCCAAAGCCTCGACATGTCTTACTCCCTGGAATAATGCAGTGGGAGGAGGAGCAGTGTGAAAAGGAAAGAAAATCATAAGCCAAGAGAACTCAATTTGAAAATCCTCAAAGTCTAAGCTAGAGGATATACTCCTAACCCACCTTGCTATCAGTTTGCTAAAAGTCTCAGGAGAAAAGAAACAAGGATGGTATCAGTGGTTCCATCCCCACTTTGCTTAGAAACTATTAGCCTTCCTCCTCTTAATTTCGTGTCTTTGCTGTTAGCTCCTCTTCTTCCCCCTTTCCTGATAATCCCAAGAACACAGAGGTTCCATAATATATTAGGCCCTCAAAGAACTCAGCATCAAAAAGAACAAAACATCATCAGAGAAGGCAAGAAAGGTAGGTATGTGCTATGGTTTGAATGTGTCCCCCAAATTTCATGTGTTGGAAACTTAATCCCCAATGTAGCACTATTGAAAGGTGGAATCTTTAAGAGGTTATTGGATCAGAGGGCTGTCTTCAGGAATGGATTAATCAATTTATGGATTAATGGGCTATCATGACAGTGGAGCTGGCAGCTTTATAAGAAGAGAAAGAGAGATGTGAGCAAGCATATTAGCATGCTCAGCCCACTTGCCATGTGATACCCTGCACCGTCTGGGGATTTTGCAGTGTCCCCACTAACGAGAAGGCTCTCACCAGATACAGCCACTAGACTTTGGATTCTCTGCCTCCAGAACTATAAGAAATAAATTTTTCTTTATAAAGTACCCAGTTTCAGTTATTCTGTTATAAGCAACAGAAAATGGACTAAGAGAGTCTGGTAGCTTCAAAAATCAGAACACAATAATACAGTCACTCCTCAAAACAGATCAGCAATAATAAACGCCTGAGGCCCTGACAAAGAACCTCAAATAATAAATACTGCTCAGAGAGACTGTAGATGTTATGACCACTATTACCAATGTCTTAGCTGTCAATATCAAATTAAACCTTTCCAAAGCAGCTATGAATTCTTATCTCATTTTATCTTCAGAACACCTCAAAATAGGTGAAGCAAACATTACCACTCCTTCCTTCCAAATAAATAATTTGAGATGGAAGAAAGTAAGTGAACTGGTTAATGTCACGTAGGGTGTTAGTAACTGAATTAACTCCTCCTTACCAGCCCCCATGTTCTTCCATAGGACTCCACAAAAAACAATATGAGGACCAAGCACACGAAAACTACAAACATCAACTGTAACCCACCTTTGCTCTTTCTGATTTAACATTTTGGATAGAAGATTTTAAATAATTTACTGCATCAAAAAGGAAAAGGACAGATTGAGCAGTCTGCCTTCACTTGAAAAGGAAACAGAGCTCATCTGCTCTGGTTCTGTTCCCACTACATTTGAATCTGCTTCAGGGTATAAGCCCTTTGACACAGGACACTGATCTACATAAACTAGTTAAAGCGACATGACATCAGTTTTTCTCTTCTCTTGGAACCTTCTGTCATAAAAGCTGCCTGCTCACCTTTCAAAAAATGAGAACAAGAAAATTCATAGCCCTTCCTGATCAGTACTACCAAAAGTAAAGCAGCTGAAATGTAAAGGAGTTCGACACCCAAATAAAAGGTCATACAGTAAATACCACACATTTTACTGTCTGCATAAAGCATGCTCACGTACATGTAGTCCCTGACAACCCTGTGAAATTATTCCCATCTTAAAGAGCTGAAGCAACATGCAACGCTATCGAGGAAGGCTTCATTCCACCTACCCTCCCTCCCGTTTCACTGAGCGCAGCACTCTTTCCAGTACATCTCAGCTGTCTGGAGAGGAAAGTGCATAGTTTTTTAAAAAGAAAGTAAGAGATTTTTAAGGATTTAGACCAAGTACACAAGGTTTAAGGTAAGGTTACATGTAGCCTATATTCTGAGGACTCAAAGGAGAACTTCCATTCAATGGCCTGTTCTTCCCTGGAATACAATCACCTGGCACTGCATAGCATTCGCCGTATAGAATGTGACTTACACTAAAACCCAGTACATACATGTGTTCTTTATTTAAAATCTAAAAGTTTTATAAATACTTATACTTTACCATATATGGATTTACTCCTACACTATTTAATTTGTTAAGAACTCCAGGCCAGGTGTGGTGGCACACACCTGTAATCCCAGTGCTCTGGAAGGCCAAGGCAGGTGGATCATTTGAGATCAGCCTGGGCAACATAGTGAGACCCTGTCTCTACAAAAATATTCAAAAATTGGCCAGCCATGGTGAAGCACACCTGTAGTCCTAGCTACTTGGGAGGCTGAAGTAGGAGGATTAATTGAGCCCAGGAGTTTAAGGTTACACTGAGCTATGATCTCACCCCTGCACCCCAACCTTGGTTGAAAGAGCAAGACCCTGTTTTCTAAAACAAAACAAAACAAAAAAAACTCTAGTCATTACCCCCTCAAGGCCCACTAGTAGGTAATACTCTGCAGTTTAATAAACACTACTGTACAGCACTTTCAGTCTCAATTTTAAGTATTTAAGTTTCTGTCCTATCCTCCAGCAGTCTATTCACAACACACTAGCCAGAGGGAATCTTTCAAAACAAAAGCCAGATCATACGTACTGCTCTCTGCTTAAAATCAGTGGCTTCCTATCTCTGAGTAAAAGCCAAAGTCCTTGCAATGGTCTCTGACATCCTACATGAGGTGGGCAGATCACCTGAGGTCAGGAGATAGAGACCAGCCTGGCCAACATAGTGAAACCCTGTTTCTACTAAAAATACAAAAATTAGCCGGGCATGGTGGCACTCGCCTGTAATCCCAGCTACTCGGGAGGCTCAGACAGGAGAATCTCTTGAACTGGGAGGCACAGGTTGCAGTAAGCCGAGATGGCTCCACTGCACTCCAGCCTTACAGACAGAGCAAGAGGCATTCTGTCTGTCTGTGTCTGTCTGTCTGTCTCTCTCTCTCTCTCTCTCACACACACACACACAAAAATCCTACATGATCTGCTACTCTCCATCTTGTCTCCTAATCCTTTCCCTTCACTCACTTCACTCCAGTCACCCTGTCCTTGCTACTCCTCCAATATGCCAGGCATATCTCTGCTTCCGTACCTTCGGGCTTGCTTCCTCTTCCTGAATTTTCTCCTCCCAAGAGGCATATGTTCACTCTCTTACCTCAGCAGTCCTTCTCTGGCCACCTTATCTATATTGCCATTCTTCACCCCCTCTCCCCACTACACACATGAACATAGACTTCCCAACCCCTTCTCTGACTTATTTTTCTCCTTAGCATTTGACACAGTTTTCGCTACACAACTGGCTTATTGGCTGTCTTCGCCACCTTAAAGATACAAGAGCAAAGTTTTTTGGTTTGGTGTTGTGCACTGCTGCATCACCAGGACCTACAACACTTCCTGGCACACAGTAGGTATTCATTAAGTATCTGCTGAATAAATGAATGAACGAATGGGTAGCATCCTGGCTAAGATGTCCAGGTCTGAGGATCAAATCCGGGGTCCACTACTTAATAGCTGTACGAACTTACTAAAGTTACTAAATTCCCGTAAATCTCAGAGTCCTGTCTGTAAAATGAGATTAAGATTCGCCATCTGGTAAGATTACCGAGAAAATAAAATGAGATAAACTGTATCAAACTGATCACTGTACCTGGCAATCAAGTGACTCTCAATAAGCCTTACTGATGCTCTACTTAACTATTTTCAATAGCGCGCATAATCTAGAGAAAGCGCTATAGAAACGTAAGGGAATGCTTTGTCTTTCATATACTGACCCCTATGAACGCATCTAAAGCAGAATCAATTTGGAAAAGAAACTCAGTTCCCAGTTCCTTCTCTTCGGGGCGGGTAAAGAATGATACGACTCCCTGAAGTTTGGGAAGGTGCCCTCGCCCCCATCTCACTCCCAGGAAACCCCAGCCCTATTCTCGACCGCCGCGCCCCCTACCTTTTTCAGTCACCACGAAGCACTGCTTCACCGGCCCCACCTGACTAAACAATTCCTCCAGCTGCTCACTGCGGGCCGAGGGCGGGAGGCGGCCCACAAATAGGGTCAGGCCGGCCATGAGGTCGGGAAACCCAAAATGCGTGAGGGCGCGAGCTAACTGGGTCGGCGCACGCGAGCCAAATGGGCCGGCGCACGCGAGCCGAGAAGCGGCTTTGGTAGAAAGACTCGCCGAGAGATTCCGGAAGTGCTCGTTGCTCAAAAGACACCGGAGGATAACATGGTGGGGAGGGGGATAAAAGGTTCCGGAATGAAAAAAAATAATGGCGCCCGGGGCGGAGCTTCTGGAGCGAGGCTCAGCACCTTGCCCTAGCATCGCCCTCGCCACTGGGTGGAAACTTGCTATCAACAATTTCTACCCTAGTGTTACAGCTTTTTTAGAATTTGCCCGGCAGGCTTTCTGGTTTTTGCTAGAAAGCCCCCCAAAAGCAATAATCTTAACATAAAAAATAAAAATAGGTAAACAATTTCCACCCTGTTTAAAATCTCACCTCCAGATCCTCCCCACAGTTAGCAGGACCAGCGGGAGGAGTCGTTTTTGCCCTGGGCCTAACTCAGAATCTGATATATAATGGGTGTTTGATATTTTCTGAATTGTCTCCACGAATTTCCAGATTACGTGCATAAAACACAATCGGAACACAAAGACGTAGACATAGGTATGTCATACACGTCATTCGAACAGTTCTCATTCTCAGAGGACATTAGCTCTCTGTCACCCCAGCTTCACAAATAACTCGTAGCTACTAAAGTACACACAGACACAGACTGTACACAATTATTCTTTCAACAAATATATACTGAGCTCCAGCTATGAGCCAGGCATTTGAGATACAACTGGTGAGCAAAGACAGGGTCCCTGCCCTCATGGAGATTACAGTCTAGTGGGGGAAACAGATTTTTTTTTTTTTGACAGGGTCTCACTTTGTCACCCAGGCCGGAATGCACTGGCATGATCTTGGCTCACTGCAGCCTCGATCTCCCAGGTTCAAGCAGTCCTCCTGCCTCAGCCTCCCGAGTAGCTGGGACTACAGGTGCACCACCATATCCATCTAAGTTTTGTATTTTTTGTAGAGACAGGGTTTCACCATGTTGCCCAGGCTGGTCTCAAACTCCTGAGCTCAAGCAACCCATCTCCCTCAGCCTCACAAAGTAATAGGATTGTAGGCATGAGCCACCACACCTGGCTGGGGAGACAGATATTAGTCCAAAAATACTTAAAAATAAATCATAGCACACACACTGGAGGACCACATTGAACACACTCAAAGGAAATGTAACATCCAGCGTATAAACAGAGACCTAGAATGCAGGTCCTCCTAGATGCAGAAGATATTTTCCTCAAGTCAGCTCATCAGACAGGCCCAAGACTGAGAGATCTTAACTGGCCAGGTGATCTGGGTGCTCCTGGATTCTGGAACACAGAGAGTGTTTGCCATGCCACTGGGTTCAGGATATGAACAGGTACAAGACAGCTACACCTTGCAGAACGGCTAGCTCAAAAAAAAGTACGCAAGGCCATTTTTTACTTTTTTTTTTTTTTTTTTTTTTGTTTTTTTTGAGATGGAGTCTTGCTCTGTCGCCCAGGCTGGAGTGCAGTGGTGAGATCTCTGCTCACTGCAACCTCCGCCTCCTGGGTTCAAGCGATTCTCCTGCCTCGGCCTCGAGAGTAGCTGAGATTACAGGCACCCGCCACTATGCCCGGCTAATTTCTGTATTTTCAGTAGAGACAGGGTTTCACCAAGTTGGCCAGACTGGTCTTCAACTCCTGGCCTCAGGTGATCAGCCCGCCTCAGCCTCCCAAAATGCTGGTATTATAGGCATGAGTCACTATGCCCAGCCTAAACTTTATTTTTCAATGTTAGCTCCAACAAGTTCAAAACACATTTGTCAGCAATGATACCAGTCACTTAGTTCATCAATAAAGAACTTAAGGTCTTTGGAATTTAAGCATGTCAATGCAGTCTTTTATTTTTTGCACTATTAATTGAAAAAACCCTTTAAAGATTTATTTTTATTTTTATTATTACTATTTTTTAAGTTGAAGTCTCACTCTGTCATACAGGCTGGAGTAGAATGGTACAATCTTGGCTCACTGCAACCTCTGCCTCCCGGATTGAAGCAATTCTCCTGCCTCAGCCTCCCTACTAGCTGGGATTACTGGCACACACCACCATGCCCTGCTAATTTTTGTATTTTTAGTAGAGATGGAATTTTGCCATCTTGGTCAGGCTGGTCTCAAACTCCTGACCTCAGGTGATCTACCTGCTTCGGCCTCCCAAAGTGCTGAGATTACAGGCATGAGCCACTGCGCCCATACAAGATTTTTTTAAGATTAGAAAACAAAACCAAGTCAGAAGGAGCCCAATTAGGACTGTAAGGTGGATGCCTCATGATTTCCCATTAACACACTTGAAAACTTGCCCTTGTTTGATGAGAGGAGTGAGCAGGAGCACTGTGATGGAGAAGGGCTCTCTGTTGAAGCTTTCTCTCAGGCATTTTTCTGCTAAAGGTTTGGCTTTCTCAGAACACCCTCACAATAAGCAGATGTTATCATTCTTTGGCCCTGCAGAAAGTCAGCAAGAAAAATGCCTTGTAGGCCTAGTGCAGTTGGCTGACACCTGTAGTCGCAGCATTTTGGGAGGCCAAGGAGAGCAAATCACCTAAGGTCAACAGTTCAAAACCAGCTGGGGCAACATGATGGAACACTGTCTCTACCAAGAGTACGAAAAATTAGCCGGGTATGGTGGCGTGAGCCTGTGGTCCCATCTGCTCCAAGGCTGAGGTAGGACAATCACTTGACCCAGGCAGGCAGAGGTTGCAGTGAGCTGAGATCGTGCCACTGCACTGCACCTAGATGAGAGTGAGACCCCATCTCAAAACAACAACAACAATAAAAGTTTCTAAATAAATTTAAAAAAATAACTCAGGGCTGGGTGCAGTGGCTCACGCTCGTAACCTCAGCACTTTGGGAGGCTGAGGCAACAGATCTCCTGAGATCAGGAGTTTGAGAACAGCCTGACCAACATGGAGAAACCCCATCTCTACTAAAAATACAAAATCAGCCGGGTGTGGTGGCGCATGCCTGTAATCCCAGCTACTCAGGCAGTTGAGGCAGGAGAATCTCTTGAACCCAGGAGGCGAAGGTTGTGGTGAGCCAAGATCGCACCATTGCACTCCAGCCTGGGCAACAGGAGCAAAACTGTCGGGAAACACAAGCACACACACACACACACACACACACACACACACACCAGGAAAGGAAGCTTTAAAACACAAAACAGATTTTTGTTTGTTTGTTTTTGAGACAGAGCTTTGCTCTTGTTACCCAGGCTGGAGTGCAGTGGCATGATCTCAGCTCACGGCAACCTCTGCCTCCTGGGTTTAGGCAATTCTCCTGCCTCAGCCTCCTGAATAGCTGGGATTACAGGCATGTGCCACGATGCCCAGCTAATTTTTTGTATTTTTAGTACAGACGGGGTTTCACCATGTTGACCAGGATGGTCTCGATCTCTTGACCTCGTGATCCACCCACCTCGGCCTCCCAAAGAGCTGGGATTACAGGCGTGAGCCACTGCGCCTGGCCACAAAACAGATTTTTAAGGCTACTATGTTAATCCTATCCAGGATGAAGAGAGACAAATAGACAAAGGCAATGGAATGGATCATCTAACAAAATTGGTTTGGGATTCCGCATCCTCCCTCTTCCTTCTCTTTCCCTCCTGCCCACTCCTATCACCTTAGGAATTAAAATTCCACCCCCAAAGATTAAGTTGTGAGCTTCAGAACCCCAGCTAGGAGGAGACCTTCCTGATCCAGGCTGCAGCCTGTACAAGAAAAACAATCCTGAGATTGTTCCAATATCCCCTTTGTGAGACCCTCCACAAATGCTAAGTTTTTTGAGACGGAGTTTCGCTCTTGTTACCCAGGCTGGAGTGCAATGGCGCGATCTCGGCTCACCGCAACCTCCACCTCCTGGGTTCAGGCAATTCTCCTGCCTCAGCCTCCTGAGTAGCTGGGACTACAGGCACGCGCCACCATGCCCAGCTAATTTTTTTGTAGTTTTAGTAGAGTCGGGGTTTCACCATGTTGACCAGGATGGTCTTGATCTCTCGACCTCGTGATCCACCCGCCTCGGCCTCCCAAAGTGCTGGGATTACAGGCTTGAGCCACCGCGCCCGGCCACAAATGCTAAGTTTTAAGTACTCCTGACCCAAATCTTCCTTAAAGGACAAAACCAAACTGTGTCTCTATGCCCATCAGGGGTCAGCAGCCACCCACAGTGCAGTGTTCCGTGCCCCTCTGGGAGGACAACAGTGCAGCTGATCCTTCCTGCCTTCCCCATGGTTCAGACCTGGTTTCCCGATCTGTCTCCCAGCCCCATCGCTTCCAATCCATTTCTATCAGGGCAGGCAACGGTCCTTTCATCAGGAATATTTGCTCATCCATCTACCCAAGGCACACGCAGCATTCTTTATTAAATAGCAGGAGCCGTGGAACCCTGCATCACACCAGCAGTGTAGCTTCCAGGGGAAATAAACTGCTGGCCTCCTCCTCATCCATCACTGTGCAGGAGCCAAGAAAGGAAGTAAGAGAGGCCTGGGCTATTGTCAGCCAGCGTCTTCCAGATCCCATCCCTCTAGCTCTACTCCCCCTGGCAAGCCAAACCTTCTTATAATACAGAATAGTTCTCAGTCTTAGCAATTGTCACAATTATAATTAATTACTTTTGCTATTGTGATTATTTAGATCATTAGGTGTTTAACATCTGCCTTCCCCCAAAAGACTTTCAATTCCATAAATTCGTGGCTAGTGTCCACCTCATTCACCTCTCTACTTCCAGCATCTAGTACATTGTAAGCATTCAGTAAATATTTTTTTAAGAGATTGAATGAATGAATGAATGAATGAAGGTGAGCTTGTCTTTCAGTCCTCACAATACCAAGACTTGGAACTGAAGGGTGTAGGCATTAGGATCTACCTGGATTCCTTCCAGGAAACCCACTTTGGGTAAGGGATGAGGCATGAGACAAAAGGGAAGGGTCCTCCAAAGCTTTGGCCTCTATGCTCTATGAAGTCAAAGGGCTGAGGTTATCCTTGCTGAGGAAAATCAAAGAAGTGTTGGAGCTGGTGAACAACGAGCTATACTCCCTCAACCCCCTCCTGCCTCCCCCCAACTCCATTTA